CCGTGGCATGCGCTAGGTGCACGGCCACGTACTTTGGCCAAATCAATACTCAAACATGAAACTTCTTTCGAACAACTCAAGCTGAAGAGACATGATATTGCATCTAATGACTGAATATGCAAAGCTTGCTCGAGATATTATGAATAAAATATGATCGTGCTCTCAATGGACTACACGTACGCACAAACAGCTTAAGCCGTAACATGAACGAGATCATAACACAACCGGAGCTAACATAACTCAAGGTAAAACAAAGTTACCTTCTTGAACCCTCAACCGACCGTACTAACTTGTCGAGGTAATTAAAGCCTCCGTGCGTGGATGATGCTCTCGGTACGTGCGGTGTCCTTGCGCTTGCGGTGCGGTAGGTATAAAGTTTAGAGAAATTTCCTCAATTCTCTCTAACTCTCTAGCTCTCTATACTAGCTGCATATATATATGTCTTAAGGATAAGGAGAAATTCTCCTCACACCACTCCTATATATAGCAGCCGAAAGAGGAAAATGAATGAGGTGGTGATTTGTTGTTTCAACAACAACATGACACTTGTAGGTTAGCTAGAAGTTTAAGGATGACTAATCACTTTTATTGCCACCTCAAGCTTGACAAAAGAAAGGTTCCTTTCTTGGAAGGAAGTTTACGGTTTTGGAATTTTTAAGGAAAAATTGATACGGTTTTTACTCAATTAAACTGTGGTTAATTATTCCTTAATCACCCTTTATGCTTAATTAATATTAAGCATAATACTTAATTACCAAAATTATTCCGAACGTAAACGGAACGTCGAAAATAATTTTGGGTAATCTCGACTGAAAATAATAAATTTTGAAAATAATAATCGACAACGTTATTAAATCGGAATTAAAACATGATTTATATTAATAAACTGACGGGATATTACAATCCTCCCTCCTTAAAAATTTCCGTCCTCGTAAATTCAAAACATAACTGAATATACTTGAACTATGTACATGGAACATAAAAATATGTACATCAAAACTGGAAGTCTGGAAAACGAGCTCGAATGTCAGCCTCTGCCTCCCAAGTAGCTCCGTGGGGATCCCACTGAATACGCACGAGGGGAACATCTCGCTTCCAGAGCTGACAAACCTGACGGTCCAGTACAGCTACCGGTCGCTCCTCGTACGATAAGTCTGGCCTAACCTGAATATCTGAATGAGGAATAACATGATCAGGGTCGCACACGTACTTACGCAACATAGATGCGTGGAAAACATTATGAATGCCTGATAGCTCGGGAGGTAAGGCTAATCGATACGCAACTTCGCCTACTCGCTCGAGAACCTCGAACGGGCCAATGAATCGAGGGTGCAGTTTCCCTCTCTTCCCGAATCGAACAACTCCGCGAATAGGACGAACTCTAAGAAAAGCTGGCTCGCCCACCTCGAACTGAATGTCTCGTCGATAATGATCGGCTGAAGATTTCTGTCGAATTTGAGCTGTCTTGAGCCTCTGCCGGATCAACTCGACCTGTTCTACCGTCTCCTCGATCATCTTCGGACCTAGTACTCGTCGCTCTCCAACGTCGTCCCAATAAAGAGGGGAACAACACTTACGACCGTAAAGTGCCTCGCAAGGAGCCATCTGAATAAGAGAATGATAGCTGTTGTTGTATGCAAACTCGGCGTACGATAACAACGACTCCCACTTAGCACCCCTGTCAACAACCAAAGCGCGAAGCATATCCTCAAGCGTTTGAATGGTCCACTCGGACTGACCATCTGTCTCCGGATGGTAGGCTGAACTGAACTCTAGCTTCGTGCCGATCGCCTCGTGTAATGCCAGAATCTACTGACGAATCTGGGATCTCGGTCTGATACGATAGTAACGGGCACTCTGTGGAGTCGAATGATCCCACGGGTATATATTTCAGCCAACTTATCGAAAGACATCTTCCTCGAAACGGGTAAGAAATGAGCGACCTTAGTCAATATATCGACCACGACCCAAATAGCGTCGTGTTGTTCAGACGACCTCAGTAATCCCGTGACAAAATCCATCGTGACTTCCTCCCACTTCCACCTCGGAATTGGCAGTGGTTGCAGGAGGCCGATTGGACTCTGATGTTCGGCTTTGACTTTCTGACAGGTAAAACATCTCTTGACGAACTCAGCGACATCCTTCTTCATCCCTCGCCACAAGAACGACCCTTTCAGGTCATGATACATCTTCGTGCTCCCGGGATAAGCTAAGTATGGTACGGTATGAGCCTCTAATAATATCTCCTTCCGCAATGCCTCGACTTTCGGGACCACGAT